GTTTGTCTAGACCAATCCTTAGATCTGTCCAGGGATTGGGAAGTTGATATTAAATGGCAAGTTGGGATTCAAAGAAGAAAAGATGGTGAGGAAGAGGAGAGAATGGGCCAATGCTGATGATGTTGCTTGGGAGGGCAACATACACCATTTGCTCTAAACGTTTCTTAAGACACATGAGTTTGAGAATACTCGTGTCAGGCAGTGGTTCTTAAAGTCTGCTCCTAATGAACATTGTGTTCCATGACAAGAGGAAAAATGTACTGCCACTAAAATGAAATAACGGTGGTCCCTCTCATTTTGTGAGTAAATTACAATCTTTCTTACTCCACCACCACCACCTTAGCAGAGAAAGGTTCTTGTTTTTTTTTTTTTGGATCACTACCATTGTCATTGTTCTTAGCTGCCATTGAGTCACTCTGATTCATAGTAACCCTGGATAGGGCAGAATACGACCACTGTGATCCATAGGGTTTTCAGAAGTACATTATCAAGCCTTTCTTTCTAGTCCATCTTAGTCTGGAAGTTCCACGGGAACCTCTTCAGCATCACGCAAGCCTCTACTAACATGTGAGTGGTGGTGCCTGAGATGCACTTCTGGGAACTGATCCCTGGTCTCGCACATGAAGGGTGAGAATTCTACCACTGAACCATCGTTGCCCTCCTCATTCACTCCCAGGCTCCCCTTTATGTGGAGAATCCCCTCAATAGGTGAAGTGAGAAAACTAATGGGAGGCAAGTTGTTCTACAGAACAAAGATGTGAGTTATTTTGAGAAAGGGAGACAAATCAACCAGTTTGGGCATCAGGCAAAGGAAATCTGGGAAGAGAAGGTAGCAGTTGAGAACACTTTGGGCAGCAGCTACTAACTGAGTGGTAGACATTGAGAAGAGCAGTGATGGAAGGAGGGGTCTTCCTCAATGATGCTGGTGGATGGATGTACTCCCTGTCAGAGGGAGCTTTCTTGAGGGATGGAGATGTTCTATATCTTATTTTATGTGGTGATTACTTGGATACCCAGAAGCCTTGGGGACGCAGTAGTTATGTGCTCAGCTGCTAGACAAAAAAAAAAAAAAAAAGGTTGGCAGTTCCAACCCACCAGCCACTCCACAGGGGAAAGAAAAGTGTCAGTCTGCTTCAGTAAAGATTACACCTTGGGAACCCTATGAGCAGTTCTACTTGGTCCTCTAGGGTCACTATAAATCTAAATCCACTCAATGACAATGGGTTTGGCTTTACTTGGGTACAGTCACTCATAGAACTGAACATTTACGATTTGTACATTTTATTGTATGTTAATTATGCCTCCACTTAAAAACAACGGCTTCCCTTCCTCCCTCCCTTCCTTTCTACTTTCCTTTCTGTGCTCAGAGAATGACAGGTTTATATCAAAAAGACCTAGAAGCCATTTGATGAGGCTCTCACTGGTCAAATCCGGAACAACTTGGCAATAAAATAAGAAATACTACTAATCCATTATAATGGGTTATTATCCACTGAATAAAGCAGGAATCAATGAAATGAGAAATTTCTTCCTTACAGTGGAATGCCAAGTAATAAATATAGAAGGAATATCAGAATTAGAAAACCACCATTTGACAACTATCATAGAAATATTTAATTCTTTCTAGAGATATCAGTGGATGCTAAGATTAGGTGGTGCAAGTGGGATGACAAATGAGAAGCTGACCACTTGTTTACTGGCTCTTAAAAGTAGTTCCACATAAAATATTTATTCATTGCAAAGGACAAAACCGAGCAATTTATAGTGGAAAAAACTGGCAGACCCAACTTAATGACTAATTAAAAGTAATCCCACTGGTAATGGGACAAGTTGACATATGTGTTCCCCTAATAGCATACAATGAAAAGAGCACAGCACCACTCTTGTGATATTTCTGCCAAAATTGTAATAACCTGGTTCACATTGTGAGGAAGTATTGTATACATCCAAGGTGAAGGAGATTGCCTAAAATGACTACCCTGTAATCTTCAAAAAGATGAATGCTTAAAAGACAAAGACTGAAGGATACATAGCTGTTGTCGAGTTGACTCCGGTGCACAGTGACCTTAACGCACAGCAGAATGCAATGTTGCCTGGTCCTGCAACATGCTCACGATCACCAGCACATTGAAGTTGCTCACTGCGGCTCTTTTGTCAGTCCTTCTCACCGAGAGTCTCCCTCATCCTTGCAGGCCCTCCTGTTCACCAAGCTTGACGTCCTCTTCCAGCTGTTAATCCCTCATCGTATGTGTCCAGAGCAAAAGAGCCAAACAGTGTTCTGTTATGCCCCATCAGGTTTCCCTTGGCTCATTTTTGGAATTAGATATCCAAACCTTTCTTAGTCTCAAATCTGTCCACTATGGTGACCTTGAAAAATGGTACAAAAGTAATAATAACTGGAAAATGAAGAAATAACCAAATCAAACTAAGTTTGACAATTTTTACAGGGAGTCATACATACTGGTGGTTATTATAATTATTATTTCTAGGAAAAATGTCCCTTTTTGGGTAATTAAATGTGAGGATAATGACTTGTAAGCTGTAGAATTAATAAATTATAATTATTAGTCCTGAATGCTTTGTCACATGAACATGTCTGAAAACTACGAGATGTTCACAGAACTCTTCCAAAAACACATATGGGCTTAATGAAAAACCTTTTGGTGAGATGAGGTGCAGTTATACCATTCATTTATTTTCATCTTCTGATTTGTGATACATTGTTCCATATAACTTTAGCACTATGTGCTTAATCTGTTGTTTGGTCTATCCTCTTCTCCATATAGTTCAGCTAAGAAAATTTTCCCAGGAACAGCCTAATAATTGGTGGTAAATGACATTCTAAAGACACAATTAAACTTACATTGAAGTTTAATTTGGCAGAGCAAATGGAAAGACCATTAAGACAAAATCCAAGGGACTCTGGCAAATCAAGTGGCTATTTTGTATTGTTAGGTCCTTGGATTCACCACTAAAGGAGTTCTGCTGGTGTAGCGGTAAGACATTGGGCTGCTGACCAGAAGGCTGGTGGTTCAAACCCATCAGCTGCTCCACAGGAGGAAGATCAGGCAGTCTACTTCTGTAAAGATTTGCTGCCTTGGAAACCCAGTGGGGGTCGCTATGAGTTGGAATCGACTCAATGGCAGTGAGTTTGGTTTTGGTTTATATTCACCATTAAAAGTTAGCTAACTCTTGAATTCAATGTTGCCCTATAATGTGTTACATTTCATTGACCATGAACAAGAATGCACAGAGTCTTGGGTTGAAGAACACATGACAGTATTTGTTTTACCTTGGGCATGAAATTCTTAATGACTTTATATCTTTTCCTACCCTAATTTATAAATTAAACTGCAAAGACCCAGATTCAGACAGAGTTCAAGGTTTTGTATTCCTGCAACTACACATTGCATCACCTCTTTAAAACGTTCTTATTTACTTCACAAACAGAGACTTTGGCCATAACATTAAACATTTAGCAACAGATTCAGTTAAAACAACAACAGAAAAAATCCTGTTTTCAGTGTTGTCTCTTTCTAGATTAGGATCTTTCTGACCAATATCCGCCAGCTTCCAATGGAAAGATGCAGATGCCTTTGCTCCTATGAGAGTAAAACCCATCATACACTATGGACATGTTTGCAA